TGCCGTAGATGAGGAACAGCTGATCCTCCTGGAACAGGGACCTCTGGCTGACTAGATTTACCAGAAGGGCAGACAGGGGGAATAGATGGGGGTGCTGACAACACAATGGACAGTGACAGGGATGGCAGAGTATGGAGCCTCTAGTGGGAGAGGAAGGCTGTCTACCTGATGGGTTTGTATTCATGCTCAGATGCCGAGCAGCTCAGAAGGTGGGCGACTGTGACCAGTGATAGTCATGTATATAGAGATTAGAAATGCATGTGAAAACGTCTCAATGTCAAGAGCCCTGGAATGAATTTTTCTGGATGAAACTTTGTGTTTTGACAATGAAGTGGAGATCTTTTTTAAATGTTGGAACCTCATTTAATTTTATGTCTTATAGAGTTCATAATGTGTAAAAGATTCTATAAGCGTAATAATTCATCTGTAAACCTAAAAATGTACAGCCAATTTTGAAAGAGATGTACCCTAGCTCAGAAAAATGTTATTGAATAGGTTAATGCTGTTGTAATGAAATGCTTCTTCTAATTAAAAAAAAAATTATTCTTCATGCTTTCTAAAGCACTTAAGACCCGCTGCCCAAGTCTGACAGAACTGCACTCACCTCAGAGATGAGAGAGTCAACAAAGCCTGCCTCTTGCTCAGGAAAAGGCACTTTCGTTTATCCAGACATCTGAAGAGTTTCTTTCAAGTTTTCAAAATGCGATGACATTCACTTTTATATATCTTTTATATTTTTCTTTATATATAAAGGATTTTAAATGCTAGAAGTCTGAAAGAAGTAGGCCCAAACAAGCCACATGTTGCTGTTAGTACATGTCTGCTGCTGGACCAGAGGCATGCCTTGGATGGTCATAGGACCCTGACTGCTGTCTGTGTGAAGTTTAACGAGACATACTCCCCTTGCTCTCTGGATTGCTAGGCCTTTCAGAATATACTGGTTCTGACTGTGTCACCCCTCATTTGCTACCCCATTTCTGTGATGAGTATTTTGGAACATGGTACTGTGCCCTAATCAGAAAACCCCCAGCATAGGTCTTAGGAGTATCTGCTTATAGTAAGTTCTGTTCCTTATGGGAAAATGTATTAGAATGCACTAGGGTACCCACTTCATGAGGTCTGAGACC